TTTCGGCTGAACTCCCCTCCCTGCATACATTCGTGATTGCATTATCATAATCATTGCCGTAGGGAGCAATTTTTGAGTCGTCAGGCCTTTGCCACAGCTAAATAATGTGACACATGATGGCACATCAAAGCATGCCATTTCTAGAGGGTTGGAGGGCACTCTCCCCCAGAAAAGTGTTGAAAATTTTAATGCTATGAGATTGAATCTTGAGCCATTTTAGCTACAAATACCGTATATACCGTATTGAACTGAAAAAAGCAAGTTTTAATACATAAGTTATAGCTATATATGACAAAGTAGTCAGGTCATGGCCTGACTAGCCTTACCGCTTCCTACAGCCCCGATCCTTACCAGCTTCCTATAGCTAATAATTGAATTATAATGTTTTACATATAACTTACAACAATACCATCATACTTGAATTTTCTTTTTCTATATGCAGTATTAGTTTCATTCAATGCAAGCGAGAGATCTAATGAATACATTGTGGTATTGCGATAAAAACAAAATATCCATATGTCTCGTTACATTTAGTTACAAAAGTTTCAATTTTAATGCTTTAAATATTCCTTTGAGTTTCAAAATATAAAAAAAATATATTTTTGAAATTAAAAAACAACAACTATGTATATTAAAAACTTGAGTTTAGTAAAATACTTAAGCAAAAATCTGGATTTATTAAGTACTGCATGGTATACGCTTGGTATTGTATGAGGGCGCTCATAATTGTCGCCCAGATTGTGACGTCACATTCGCTCTGCAAGCTTCGCCATTGTTAATTAATGAATTATATTGGTTTGGAAATGTAGGCCTAAAATACATAACAACATAACTTTATTAAATGAACTAAAATTTTATATGATTTTTAAATTTATTAGGTTTATGATAATGACGTTTTACTTCTCACATTTTGGAATTTAAGGTGAGTTGAATAATGACGTGAACCGAGTAAACAATGTATCATTACATTATACTATTACTATGGTAAGTTATTTTTCCCTTGTTGTAAGTCATATCGTTAGGCCTAACATAGGAGCATAATCAATCACGTTAATATGTAAGTAGTGTGATAACGACCGCTGATGTATTGGATTTGGAACCACAGAAGCTTATATCAATGAATTGTATTAAATTTAAACAGCATACCCAATTTTTCATTTCTGCATCACAATAAACATGAGTTTTTTGTTTTCTTAAAACATCAAAGATTGAAATATTTGTTGTAAATACTGAAGTTAAATTATAGTTTATACTCGTACTCATAGAATGAGGATTAAATAACGGTGTTTTATAAACTGGGTATATTTTTTTATTATTAGTAGTAATATTTTGATCTTCCATATTTAATTAATGTCAAGTGTGTTATAGTTATGGTGGCAGATTTGTTGATAATTGAATTATAATGATTAAGAAATGTAATATGTCAATGAATTAAAATGTAAATAAACTAGTAAAATATGTAAACTTGAACATATATGATATGTCACTATTTAATTTTTTATTTTGGCATTGCTGTAAATTATGCAGCTGTTAATATGTATATTAGATAGAAATTTAGTAATTTTAGCAATCCAGTTTTGTTTTTCTCCTATGATTTTTAAATGATGTTATACAGTTTGTGTTATTTCATGATCTCACAAATAATTTAGATAAACCTGATATTGTTAGCTTCATAGAATTGTATTTAAAGTACAGTGTTTTAAGACCTATTAAAGTATTTTTCACCTATTACCTAATTTTATAAAATCAGTGCATTGTATACTTAATTGACATGTATGACAGTAATTGAAAACATTAAAAACATCCAATAAAAGCATCATAGACAGAAGTTAATGTAACCTTTAACCCTCGTATGGCTCTTCAAAAAATTTACAAAATATTTCAAGCAACAGCAGTAAGTACCATGTCATCGAAATGTCACTACTGATGTTTGTAATTCAAAACTAGGGAACATACAGACTACATTTAAGGCTGTTCCTACAAATTTATATGGAGAAAAGTAAAAATTTAATTCCACCCTTTTATATTAAAGAAAAATTAGAGATTCTTATTTTTAAGCTCTTGTGAAGTG